ACGTTTGGTTTTATTTTTCACTCGATTCTATAGCATTCCCAAGTTGAATATTGTCCAGCTCAAAATATTCACCAAAATATTGAGTTTAATTTTGTTTGGATTGGTAATGGAGCAAACGGGATGCTTGCCATCTGAAACAAGGGTAGTGATTCACTTATCCGGAGAAAGTGGAGCCCTGCACAGGAGCAAATAGGCTCGTAGCGATGCTCCCTCTTCCGAAAATAATTTAATCCCTTTCCTTTGTTATTACTTAACTTGAATTGCTATACTATTTCTCGTCCATTTAAACTTGTCTACAGTCTCTGATTTGATAATACCCCCATACCTTGAATACTTTGCTCTCCTGTTACATCTAAACCCCCAGCTTTTACATCTAAACCCCAGCTGGGACATCTAAACCCCAGCTGGAACATCTAAACCCCAGCTGGAACATCTAAACACCCAGCTTTTACATCTAAACCCCAGCTGGGACATCTAAACCCCAGCTGGAACATCTAAACCCCAGCTGGAACATCTAAACACCCAGCTTTTACATCTAAACCCCAGCTGGGACATCTAAACCCCAGCTGGAACATCTAAACCCCAGCTGGAACATCTAAACACCCAGCTTTTACATCTAAACCCCAGCTGGGACATCTAAACCCCAGCTGGAACATCTAAACCCCAGCTGGAACATCTAAACACCCAGCTTTTACATCTAAACCCCAGCTGGGACATCTAAACCCCAGCTGGAACATCTAAACCCCAGCTGGAACATCTAAACACCCAGCTTTTACATCTAAACCCCAGCTGGGACATCTAAACCCCAGCTGGAACATCTAAACCCCAGCTGGAACATCTAAACACCCAGCTTTTACATCTAAACCCCAGCTGGGACATCTAAACCCCAGCTGGAACATCTAAACCCCAGCTGGAACATCTAAACACCCAGCTTTTACATCTAAACCCCAGCTGGGACATCTAAACCCCAGCTGGAACATCTAAACCCCAGCTGGAACATCTAAACACCCAGCTTTTACATCTAAACCCCAGCTGGGACATCTAAACCCCAGCTGGAACATCTAAACCCCAGCTGGAACATCTAAACACCCAGCTTTTACATCTAAACCCCAGCTGGGACATCTAAACCCCAGCTGGAACATCTAAACCCCAGCTGGAACATCTAAACACCCAGCTTTTACATCTAAACCCCAGCTGGGACATCTAAACCCCAGCTGGAACATCTAAACCCCAAACTTGGACATCTAAACCCCAAACTTGGACATCTAAACCCCAGCTGGTACATATAAACCCCCAGCTGGTACATCTAGAACCCATCTGATTTATAATGATTCAGTCCAATTCGTTGCTTATTTCTTTCACGGCACTGACGACTAGATCCTATGTTTTCCCAATCTACTTCATCATTTGCAATTACATCATCGTCATCATCAGTCACACAAAAGACTGAATGGGGCGTCAAATGTCATCTTGAAAATGTGCGAAGATTGAAGATTTTCAGTTTGAGATACTCCAACCACCTTTTAATTTAACAGTAGCTCCGCTCCTATGATAGAAAAATTTTCAGCGGGGCTGAAATTTCTTCAATACAACTGCAAAAGAGTATTTTTGTAACTATGGTTTGATGAAGACAGTTATTTGATTTGAACGAACCGAGCAATCTACAGCGTGTTGTTGCTCAAATGGAATATGGGATTTACAAAGAAGGGGTTAAAAAGCGTATTTTACACGTGTTTTTTATGAGAAACTAAAGTCCGGGGCTGGTAGGCAATTGTTTAAATTTTCTTGCCATTTTGCTATCAAAAGTTTCTTACATATTTCTTGAATTTCTTAGGTAATAAATTTTTTAAACGTGCTTCTAACGTAAAGTAAATAGTTCACTCACATTCAGAGATAAACTGACAAAGTGATCAAGGAATTTTGCTTTCCTAGAATGACTAACTCTGTTGAGATCTGTAAACAGTTAAGCTCATTGAACTTCGTCAATATCAAGTTGTAGTCGAAACAATATTTTTAAATGGAAACTTCTTGAGTGTGCAATTTACTGAGAATGAATGCAAACTGCATGTCAAGTGTGTTGCAATACGTATATAGTGATGTTCAATGTCAAACTGTTTCAAGTGTCAACTCGGAAAATTAAAACTGCAAATTATAAAAGTTTCTTAGCTTTTTTCAATTTGGGTAGGGTTGTTTCTTAACTTTCGAAAAATTGAGCCTACCGTTTCTTATTACCTGTTTCTTTTGAAAAAAATGAGTGTAATTGTGCATAGTATTTTAGTAGGATACATCTTCAGAGTATAACCATCGAAGAAGAGAAAACCCCCAAGAATATTTGCCTTCAGAAATAAATCAGCAGAAGATTGGGGAAACCCTCCTTTTTCGTAAGAACAATTTTATAAGAACACGATCCTAAAAAGTTAAGAACAAATTAAGAATACACTGAGGCTGAGCTACTGTAAAGTGCAATATAGAACAACGTTTTATCTCAAAAACGAGGATTTTTAGCCATATGTAGATGCTTTTTCGGTAAATATTGTTTCACTCATTTTGTTGGCAAATGAGGCCTGAACACCCACTCCCCCCCTAGCGAAAATTCAAGCAATTGCACTGCTTCATCCTAATAATTTAAAAGCAAATTAAGAACAATCCAGCCTCAGATTTTCGAAAAAAATTTTAAACCGTTTGCCTGAACTTAAATTTACTAGTTTAGTAAAGAAAAGAATGTTCTACGGGGGCGAAATCTGCAACTCAACTGGAGATATAACGCATTCCAACACGGGTCAACCTTTATTAGCATGTTAAGTCTATATAATTTATCTCATTCAATATCAACTAGGTATATTTTTAAACCTTAGTGTGGTGACAAAACGCATAGGAAATGCGATGATTTAGAGACGCTGCATAGAAAACCTGAGAACTTCGAATTTTCTCACGCTTGCATTCCATACTAACAACTGAGAGACCTGGGAAGTGTTTTGTGTTCAAGGCAAGTTGCGGTAACACCGTGTGCAGATGTTTTTCAAGCACGTCGACTTAGAAATTGTCGCCTTGTCTTGTTTTGCTAACAATCCAGCGTTCAGAAGTATGGCTTATTGAGAAACTATTGTGAACTGTTTCCTAGCAGTTGTAATATCAAAACGATTTCAGGCAAACAAAAATATTAAATCAA